TTGCCCCAAACAGTAGAGTTAGAAACATACCAGGGGATTCCAATTCAATCCCATCAAGGTGGCATGTACCAATGCCATCTCACTAGTCCCAGTGATCAATTTCTGTTCATAATTGATCATAATGATAGGACTAAGAGTCAAAGGGATCACATAAACAAGACTAGTGTCTACAAATACTAATCGATAGAATAAAAAAGGGAGAGAATGATCCAACATGGGAAGCGAGATACACAGCAGACTCATAGAATGGCAGATGTCCTAAACAGCACTCTGGCCTCAGAATCAGCCCTTGAGGCATTCAGATCCAGCTGAAAAGCCCATGAGACTATTTCAAGCATGGAAAGCCAAGACACTCTGTCAAAAAAAAAAAAATGACCTAAATGAAAGATCTCCACAAGTGAGATCCCAGTGGGTGATTACTGATGCCATAAACAAGAGTGTCAGTTTGTTAAGTCAACAACAGGAGTCACTGTGCCCTTACTCCTCATGTAGGATCTCTGTCCTTAATGTGCTGTACATTGTGATTTAATGCTATAACTAGTACTCAAACAGTATTTTTCACTTTGTGTTTCTATGTGGGAGCAAACTGTTGAAATCTTTACTTAATATATACTAAACTGATCTTCTGTATATAAAGAGAATTGAAAATGAATCTTGATGTGAATGGAAGGAGAGAGGGAGCGGGAAAGGGGAGGGTTGAGGGTGGGAGGGAAGTTATGGGGGGAAGCCATTGTAATCCATAAGCTGTACTTTGGAAATTTATATTCATTAAATAAAAGTTAAAAAGGGGGAGGGGAGGGGAGGTGAAAGAAGGGAAGGGAAGGGTGAGCCAACAAAAAAAAAGAAAAGAAGTAGTTCAATAGTAGGGCATTATGTTAATCTTTTCTGCAGGGTCATTATGTTCACACACAAAAATTATAGAAAAGAAAGAAAAGAAAACTACATGCTGACAGTAAAGATATATTATGAATTATAGAAATTTTACATGAGAAATTAATTGTCATGTAAGGGATTATCATGGAGGGTATCATCCCTAAAACAAAGGCATTCCTTTTATGCAATATATAAGTAAAGCAGTACAATATCAAATTTTGGGGTTTCTTAAATTGGATAATGATTTGAAAGTGCATTTGTGAAAGATCAAAGAGGTAAGTCTAAGAAAACCTTTTTCATTTATTTCTTAAAATTGAGAAGCTGAAGTTTACAATGAAATTACCACAAAGTAGACAGTGAACCCATTTTCCTTTCCTGATATCATTCCTAAGTGTGAGGGCCTCAGAGATTCACCAAGACTGAAATATTACTAGTGTCCATGCTCCTTCCCCCTCCTTCATACCACTTTGCTCTGCAAAGAAAATCAAATCGTTAACATGTCATCAAAGTATTCATCAGTGATTTCCTTAAGTTTTACACAAGAATCAAGTGGAAGTTCAAGTTTGAAGTAAATAGTCTCTTTTTTTTCAATTTCCAACTTTCTTCCTTTACTTTTTACACATACTACAAGTTCAAAGCACATCTTTCTTTCTACATTGGTCTGTGCTTATTTCTTTTTTAGAAAACTAGGATAATATCAGTGTGCAAAATTTTTTCCACTGTGCTCACTTTCATTATGTAGGACCATTTGTACAATTTCCTTTAACATTTGTTATGATCAATAATTTAGCCCTGTCCCTATTATTTTCCAGTTTTCTTCTAACATGATGTTGTACTTGCCTTCAGACAAGTTTCCTAGTACTTGGGAAAACTTACTTAGCCCACAATCACTTAATGCCACACGTTGAAATTTGGGATCCATTGCCTTTCATTCCTCTGACCAAGCACACTCTGATTCCTCTGGCTTCACAGGGTATATAAATAACAGGAAGTCTACGGCCACATTCCTGTCTAATTTTAAGCAACATATGGGAGGAGTGAAATTAAAGCAGTATTCCATATTTACAGAAGAGTATCCTGTTCACTTACTTTAAATGAATCAGAATTTTATGTTAATTACTTAAAATCAGATTTATTAAATTTTCTCTTTGGAATCTCTCACTTGGTATTTTTAAGTATTAGCGCCGTGGCTCACTTGGTTAATCCTCCACCTGCGGTGCTGGCATCCCATATAGGCACCGGGTTCTAGTCCCAGTTGCTCCTCTTCCAGTCCAGCTCTCTGCTGTGGCCCGGGAGGGCAGTGGAGGATGGCCCAAGTGCTTGGGCCCTGCACTCCATGGGAGACCAGGAGGAAGCACCTGGCTCCTGCCTTCGTATTGGCGCGGCGCTGTCCACCGCAGCCATTTGGGGAGTGAACCAATGGAAGGAAGACCTTTCTCTCTATCTCTCTCTCTCCTCTCTCACTGTCTATGACTCTACCAAATTAAAAAAAAAAAAGAAATTCGTTGAATAATTATTGGTGATTTATTAAGTTACAACCCTGCAAACATCTATGTCTTGTTTTTCTTATTTTTTCATGCTGAAGTCTGCCTTTGATTACACTTGGAGACAATGAACTAGTTTACATGACAACACAAATGCACACACAGAATCAACTATTATTGAGCACTTTATCAAATACTGACCCTCAATGATACTTCAAAAGTTTAATTGAAGGAAAGTTAGCATTTTTAACTTTCCCTTTGGCAAAATATTTTCTGTAACTTCACTCTAGTTTTGTAATAATAATGTGCAAACCTAGAGAAGCAGGGAAGGGGCTGCCACCAGGCGGCCATAGGCTTGGGACACCACGGCTCAGTCCAAACGGTTCTTCCAGGCCAGTGCATGTGGCCAGGGGCCAACCCCTCGCATCCTGGGTTCCTGGCGTGGCTCGTCCCCCTTATCGAGGCTGGCGGTGGCGAAGTCTCACCCTCAGCCACCAAAGAGCCCAGACCCTTGGCAGGTGGAAGCTGGCCTCAGGTCCTGGGGAGCTGGTGTGGTGGGGCTGCAACCTAGGGTCATGCGCGATGGAGCCAAGAGCCCTGCAGTGAGCAGACCCCCCCCCCCCAACGCAGCTCTCTGCTCGCCTCTGCCCCTCCCCCCAGCACCCTCACACGCTGGCTTCCCCGGGGAGGTGGGGAGCCCGTGATGAAGTTCCACAGGAAGTGAGCGACAGGAACCCGCCGTGAGACCGAGTGCTGAACTGCGGCGCTGTGGCTCCCACCCCTCCCCTCGCCGGGCTGGACTGGGTTTCACATCGCGGTCCAGCACAGGTCACCGAAACGGCGGAGGAGGGAGATGGCGGCGCTTCCTGTTGCTGGTCTGCTCCGAAGTCCTGCCCGGGGTCCTCCCAGATGCCCCCTCCCTGCCGGAAGCACAGCCCTGCAGGGAAGCGTCCCTGACCCTGTGCCGCCCCCAGACACAGCCCATGCCCCACACAGCCCCGGCTCTGTCTCTGCTTATCCCTACCCCAATGCCTGACCACGTCCAGACCGCGTAGTATGGAGGCGGCACATGGTGGGCACTCAGTGGGTGATCGTGCCCTTAGTGTCGGCACTGCCGTCCCGGCCCAAGTGAGGAGGGAGTGCCGGCATCCCATATGGGCGCCGGTTCAAGTCCTTGCTGTTCCACTGTCGATCCAGCTCTCTGCTACGGCCTGGGAAAGCAGTAGAAGATGGCCCAAGTCCTTGGGTCCCTGCACCCACGTGGGAGACCTGGAAGAAGCTCCTGGCTCCTGGCTTTGGGTTGGCCCAGCTCTAGCCTTTGCTGCCAACTGGGGAGAGAACCAGCAGATGGAAGACCTCTCTTTCTCTCTCCCTCCCTCCCTCCCTCCCTCCCTCCCTTTCCTCTCCTCTCTGTGTAACTCTCACATTCAAATAAATAAATAAATAAATATTAAAAAAAAAAAAAAAGATCAATGATCTTGAGGCTTCTGTAAGCCAGGAAGGGAGGAGGAGAAGGAATGGGACCTGAGCCGAAGGCACCTGCTGTAGCCGGATCCTGGGTGAACCAACTGACCATGGACGCTGGGGGTGTCAGGAGGGTGCCAGACAGACCCAGGCTCGCAGCCTGGCCACATCCTCAGCTGCCAGACGTCGCCCTGAGGGGTTTATGAGTGACCTCTGGGCACAGGGATTCCCTGCACAGGGCTCCGGTCACTTCCTCCATCCCAGCTCGGGTAATCGAGGGAATTGTGTAGCCTCTTGCTAACCCTTGCTGCAGCCAACACAGGCTGGGCTGAGCACCTGCCAGTGCCACAAGTCAGGGCATGTTGGTGCTGCTGTCACCTGTCCCGCTAGGGGCGGGTTGAGCCAGGGGACCCGTGGAGAGCACCTGCCACAATGACAAGCTCACAAGGAACGTGGGCCGGGCCGAGAATCGCACTCCTGAGAGGGTAGCCCAGGGAGGTTGTCAGAGTGGTTTCTGAAATCGGGCAGCTCCTGTTACTTAGCCAGAGACATGCTTTTCAAGGCATAAATAACGGGCAGGCATTTGGCCTCATCCCACTGCAGGGGCCAGGGTCCGACGCACGCCTCTGGCTGGTGCAGACCTTGGGAGGGGCAGGCAATGGCGTGATTGGGCCCTGGATTGAGTTCCCAGCTTCCGACTTGGGCCCGGCCGAGCCCCCGCTGCCATTGGCAGCTGGGAAGGCAAACAGTACGTAGGAGCTCTCTTTGTCTCTACCTCTCACAAAATTGTTAATAAAACTATTTTTACAGATTTATTTATTTGAGAGGAAGAGTTAGAGAGAGAGAGAGAGAGAGACAAAGACAGAGAGGTCTTCCATAAGCTGGTTCACTCTCCAAATGGCTGCAAAGGCTGGAGCTACACTGATCTGAAGCCAGGAGCCAGGAGCTTCTTCTGGGTCTCCCACGCAGGTACAGGGATGTGTGTAGCAGGGCAGGGACTCTGAGATGCACCCAGATGCCCATGACATGTGACGTGTGTTGCAGGGTGGGGGACTGTGGGGTGCACCTGGACGCCCATGACACGTGATGTGTGTTGCAGAGCGGGGGGGGCTATGGAGTGCACCCAGATGCCTGTGACACATGATGTGTGTTCCAGGCTGCTGAATCAGAAGGGGGCGGATGACAGCCGGGACCGTGGTCATCACCGGGGCATCTTTGCGACGGTGATCCTGCTCTGCTTTATCGCTGTTCTGTGCTACTGTCGGCTCCAGGTACCCCCCGGGGGTGGGCGGAGGGGAGGCTTGCGGCCGGCCCTGCCCCTGCCCCTGCCCCACGAGGTAGCCCCTGCAGAAGGCCAGGAGGGCCGGACTCCAGGAGAGGGCGCTCCAGGCCTCCTGGCCAGTGACACGCAGCTGCCCAGTGAGAGAGCGATGCTGGGTGCTCGGACCAGCTCTGCGGCTCCTTCCCCATCCAAGCCCCCCCCCCCCGCCCCGTGTCTGCCCGAGAGAGGAGTGGGAGCCACTGGTGCAGGGCAGCTTGAGCCCCCACTGTGCAGCGCCCCTCCGTGCCTCAGTTTCCCCACTGAAAAACGGCTCAGCCTGGGGGTGGCTGTGCCGATCCAAGGAGTGGCTCTGAGAGGTGCCTAGCGCTTAGCCCAGCCTGAGCTGGATCCCAGAACACACAAGTGCGCAGATACAGGTGTCTGATCAGGCGCGCCCCCGCCCACCGCCCTGATGCCGTGCTTGGGGCCGGCTCCTCTCCCGCGCGGGGGGGACTGGGAGGGCCGGGGAGGGCCAGCCGGTCACCCGCTCTGCACACAGTACTACTGCTGTAAGAAGGAAGGCTCCGAGGAGGATGAAGAGGAGCCGGACTTCGCCGTGCACGCGCACCTGCCCCCGCTGCACTCCAACCGCAACATGGTGCTGACCAATGAGCCTGGGCTCTACCCGGCCACCTCCACCTCCTTCAGCCAGCAGTCCCCGCAGGCCCAGGCCCTGTGCTGCAGCTGCTCCCACCACGAGCCGCCCACGTTCTTCCTGCAGGAATTGGAGGACAAGGACCTGCGCAACAGTGGCGAGCGCGTGGCCTCCGCCAGCTTCAGCCAGGAGGACCTGGAGCTGTCCCCCAACAGGGGTTTCGGGGGACTGCAAGCGCTCAACCCCAGCCGTCTCTGGGCCATGCGGGAGGCCTTCGCCCGCAGCCGCAGCGTCAGCGCCGACGTGTGACCGTGCCCCCCGCCATGGCGCGCCACCCCGGTCCCCCTGTCCTGGGGACACCCCAGGCCCTGCAGAGCCCCTGGGCTGGGTGCAGGGGTGAGACTCAGTGAACACAGGTGTAGCCATGGGTAGCAGGGAGACCTAATGCAGCGACAGGGTCGGGGCCATGGAGTGGGTCCGTCAGGCACACGGCCGCTGGTGGCCTCCAGCTCAGCCCGACAACGTGGCCGTGTGTGTGGCCACCCCGCCCAGCCTGGACCTCACATGTTCCAGGAAGGGGCGGCCTCAGCCTTCCCTGCCACTGACGACCAGCTGCTGTCCATAGGGGCCCCCTCTCGCTCTCACGTGCGCACACACACGCATGAACATGCCCACGCATGCACACACACGTGCCCAGCACCTGCCTGCTTCCCTCCTACAAGGGGGCTTCCCGGGCAGCCTACTCCTTGAGAGTTCACCCCAACCCACATTCTGGTCAAGGGAGGCCTGGGCAGGGTTGGGGGGCTGCTGCTCTGGGGGTACCGGCCCCAAGACCCCAGCCCGGCCCTCAGCTCTCCACACAGCACGCGAGCCAAAACCCGGAGGGCAGCATGAGGTGTGGCAGGGTGGGCAGAGCTGGGCCAGGGCTCGAGAGAGCCCTCCACCCATGCCCACCAAGAGGCGGGGCCTCCCGGGATGCAGTCAGAGTCCTGAGTGCTGAGGGGCGCTGGGTCTCGGCGGGATTCTGGGTCCTGAGGGAGATGGCTGCAGGGCGCGCTGTCTTGTCCCATCCCCAGCAGTGTCCCTGTGGAGGCTCCTGTGTGGAGCCGCCCTCTAAGCCCGCACTCCATCCAGCCCTGATTCAGGCTGGGGGCTCCCTGCTCCCTTCCATCAGCGGCAGAAATGACACCACTGGCTCCCTCAGGGCACCAGCCCCCACCCCCAGCTGAGGGAGGCCCAGGAACCCCTCCGTCTGACAAGGGCTGTGGCCAATCGAGAGTGAGACTCATCTCCCACCGTGAGCTCCCAGAGCCTCCTGCAGTCGGGGGACACTGGCTGTTCAGGGACTCCTTGGTCCCTGCCCACCTCCTCCCCCTCCTCCCGGCCCCTGTTTGGATGCACCCTTGACTCCCTGCTCCTGGCCCCGCCCCCATCGAGTCTGTTCCTAATGCATTCACCTGGGGAGGGGTCTGGGGTGGGGGCAGGGGATGAGGGCCCTGAGGCAGCTGTTCCCATTTTGGTCACCAGCCTCCGCACGTAGATACTTAGAGCTCTGGAATGCAGTGAGCACCCCCTGCCCTGGCCCGGTCCCTGCAGCGCCGTCCTGGGACCCACCCACCAGCCTGGCAGAGCCAATGGATCATCTCCTACCACCCTTCATGGCTTCGGTCTGGCTGCTGTGGCCAGTGCAAACCCTCTCTGCATTGTGCCATGCCCATGCAGCCCAGACCTTGCCTGGAGGAACCCAGAGTGGCTCTCTGGTGAGGGGTCTCCAAAACCGCCTTTGTCAACCCTGGGGGGATGGAGGCTGTGCTCATCTCCCCTGGGAACCCTGGCTGAACCCGTCTGGGCCGGTAACAGAGCCACTGCCTCAGGGGGCTCCAGGCAGCCCTGACGGGGTACAAGGCCTTGTGTGTAGTGGGCACACACACTCAGCGCTGGCAGAAAAGGAGGAGGCTCGGGCAGGAAGAGGATGGCGGAGCAGAGCAGGGACCGCGGGACACGGCATGGGCAGGGGCCACAGCCACTCAGCCCTCCCCGAGCGGAGCCGGAGCCCTTGAGCAGGTGGGGGCTGGGAGAGACCCTCTGCGGCAGCCACAGCGTGGTGGTGGAGTCGCAGCCGTTGAAGTCGCCGTTCAGAAGCCTGCAGCCAACGGTTGGGACCTGGGTTCTGTTCCCCAGGATGGCTCCAGACTCCAGCAGGGATGGCTCGAGGAATGGGGCTCCTTCCACCCACGTGGGAGACCAGGGTTGAATTCTTGCTCCCAGCTTTGGCACCTGGCTCAGCCCCGGGCCATTGCCAGCGTTTGGGGAGTAACCAGCAGATGGCAGCTCTCTTGCGGGCGCCTTCTCTCTCTCTGCCTCTCTCTCTGTCTCTCTCTCTCTGCCTCTCTCTGTGTCTTTCTTTCTCAGCCTCTCTCTGTGTGTCTCTGCCTCTCCAATAAATACATTTTTAAAAAACGTGCAGCCCCTTGATGCATACATGTGCAGCCATGGGCACACACAGGCAAAAGCACCCCAGGCTGGTTGCTGCCTCAGCTTCCCCGGGGTGGACCCTGCTCTGAGTCCCAGTTTGGGGACAGGCTGGGACCCCATGCAGGAGGTCGGCCACTGGCCTCTCTGGCACCTATGCCCAAAGGAAACAGTTCTCCTGGCCATCCTCAGCGCTGAGGCAAGCTGGCCGTCCCTTGGGTGGCGGAGCCCCAGGCCCCTCCCCTCCCAGCACCCTCCACCAGCTGCTCTGCTCTTGCCTCTCCCCACGCCTGCCGCTGGGTCAGCCCAAAGAAGGGCTCTTGTCTGTCTCGGCACCCACGAGTCCAGACCAGGGGCCCTCCGCAGAGCTCCAGAAACACCAGACCTGAGGCTCCGCACACCTGCCTCGTCCTGTTAGGGTCTGAAAAAGCCCACCGCCCGAGGAACGACTCCAAGAGACTTTTTCTCTCATGCAACCAGCAAAGGGTTAAATTTATTGATCCAACATGTTGGGGCTCTCTGAACATACAAGGACAGAGGAGCAGTGAGGAACTACAGCATAGGGTTCATAAAGGCAAAAACCACAAAATCGGGAGGGGGGAGAGAATACACGGTTGCTAAGCGGTTGCTAAAATCTTACAATCAGCAATTATGATCTTAAGACATAGACAAATCACATCTTCATTATTAGCCCAGGTAACCCAGGTGCAACCTTTCTACTTTCAAGCTTGAGCAATCATGCTAGGGGGTTTCTGTGCTCTGCCAAGGGTGATGTAGTGCACTGCTATTGTCCGACTATTTGAGATCATAGTTTCAGACCAGAGTCTCACGGTGGGGGTGGGGGGTGCTTTCCCAGAATGGAGTCTCAAGTGCTCCAAAATGGAGTCCCTACTGTCAAGGTGCTACTTCACTCTGTTTTATTTTCACAGCTGCACCAGGAAGGTTTAAACCTGTAAGCTTAAGCTTAACTTTTTACACCCGCACATATACAATTTTAACTCTTCAGTCCCTGGTCCCCCAGCCTGCTGCAGGGGGCACTCCGGACCTTAGTGCAGGTCCTCCCCTGCAGCCCCACACCAGTGGAGGTTCCGGCCCACTCTGACCCCAGCACCGGGCTCCTGAGGCCCCACTGCCTACTCTGTCTGTGGCCTTTGGTCTGCACCTGGCTGGCCCCAAACCCCAGGCCTTAGGGAGTGAGAGACCTCACACGGCCACACCCTGGCTCTCCCAAGCCCATGGGGTCTCCCGCCCCTCCTACCAGAAGCAGCAGAGACCCCACCAGGCCGCCATATATACTGACCATTTTATTGACATACAGGGATGAGTACTGACTATGGTTACAGGACAAACCCACTGCTGAGAACCATGCACACCGAAAGAGGGCTCCCTGGGGCTTACAGTTTGGCAGGTGCTGGGCTGGGCCAGGCCATGAGGCAAACCCTCCAACTGATGGGCACCTAGATGCCGGCAGGGACCCACTGACACCCGGGCCACTGCCGCCACCTCCCCCACAGAGCCCGGTCAGGGTCACCTGCCAGTTATCTGGAGGAGGCCCTACCCAGAGACGGCCTGGACCCTGGGCACGTCTCACCTTCACCGCTGGGCTCTGGGTCCTGGGGCCCCTTGGGTGGGGGCTCAGCCCCAAACAGGATCCTTACGATTTGGAGCTCCCCAGCCTGGGAGAGCAGAGGGGGTGGCCCAGTGCTGCACCCCACCCCCCCACTCAGGCGCCCATGGGGGTGTCTGGGGCGGGGCCCTGGGCGGGCACTTGGGTCTCCATGGCTGCAGTGGTGGCCTAAGGGCGGGACAGCCTGCAGGAGTGGCAGCACGCCTTGCTGTAGTACCAGTGGCTGCACAGGTTCACCTTGATGGCCAGGGTGCAGTTGGTGCCTGGCTGGTCCTGGCAGCTGTCATCTGGGGAAAGGGCACAGGGCAGAGGTCGGGGGTCAGCAGGAGGCCAGAGGTGAGAACCCTGCTGACCACCCCAGCACCTTGCTTCCTGCCACGGGGCAGCTCTGGCACAGAGCACCTCGGGCAGGGCCATGTGCCCATCACAGGGATCCCAGCGGGTGTCAGGCTCCAGTTCTCTGCCGTCTCCCCATGGACAACACCAAGAGGGGTGGAAGGGGCAAGGCCAGGGGCCAGGACTTGTGGTAGCAGTGCATTCTTGGAGCCCACAGGTGCACAGCCCCCCGCACCATGCCCAGAGTAGAATCCATCACCCACACCTGCAGCATATTCCAGGTGCCCAAGCCAGGACCCCTGTGGCCCAAGTCAGGCCCCCATCCTGGTCCCTCGGCCCCACACTCCCTGCCCACCTGTGGCTGACCCTCTTCTCCCTCAGCCTCCAGCCCCAGTGGGCCTTTCCCTCCCCCTCCCCGGGACTCTGCCATCCAACAGGGCGCCTGCTCACCCTCCATGCCCTGGCTCCCGCACCTCCTCCACAAGTCCTTGCCCGGCCCACAGCCTGCCCCTGCTCACCTGGGGGCTCTGTGGGGCAGGGCTGCAGGTCACAGGCCTGCCTACCCACTGGCTTCACCGGCGGGTCACAGCCACGCACGATGTCGATGCCCTTGTAGCACTTCACGTCTCGCATCCTCATGCCCACCCCGCAGGTCTTGGTGCACTCATGGGGCAGCGACAGGACAAAGGTGACCCTCAGCTTCCTGCACGGGCCCCGCCCACCTGGCCAGGCTCATGCTCGCCACTGAGCAGGGGTGGGGACGGCACTGGGGGGCCGCCCAGAGCTGCCTCAGTTTCCCCAGCTGCACCATGAGGGGTGGCCACCTCAGGACCTCCATGATCCCAGCTGTGCAGGGTCTGTGAGGCACCTTTTGAAGCCATCACCCCAGCCCTGGCTCCTCACCGGGTACTCTCCCTGCAAAACCCCACGAGCCGCTCACACCCCAGGGACACTGCTCTTGCAGACAATTAGGGAGAACAGACTAGGGTCACTCCCGCCAAGGGGGCCTGGAGCAGTGGTCAGGCCTCCCCTCCCAGCCGGCCTGGCCATTCCCAGAAGTGGCCTTGGCCTCTCCAGCCAGTCCCCCAGGTAGGCCTGCCTGCTCCCCCTCCAGGCCCCAGCTCCCCTGGGGTTCTCCACAAGCCCCAGCCCAGCCCCCAGCCTCCCTTCTGCCATGGAACGAGCGAGTGCATGTGTGTCCCAGTCCCAGATGAGCAGGTGCAGTGTGGGAGGGGTGAGGAGGGTCCGGGGCAGGACCCTGGCCTGGGGATTGCTGCACCCATCAGATCCCTGTAACACAGACTCCACAGCTCGGGCCCTGAAACTGGAAGGCTTGGCACTTGCCTGTCACGGCTACAGCCAAGGGTAGGGGCGCCCTGGCTGGGGGGCTCTGCGCCATCCCGTGAAGGTCCCTGGGCACCCAGTCCCCTGTGACACGTCACTTTATCCCCTGTGCTCCTGCCCTGGGCCGGCGGCTCACAGAGGCTGCTCTGGGCCTCCCCGCCGGCCCCTCCTGAGAGCTCTGGCATGGCTGGCCGGGGAGGGCTGGGTAGAGTCCAGAGGGGACTGGCACAGGCAGGGGGCCGCCCTCCCTCCCTCTGCCCCTCCCCCGGTGGCCAGTTCACAAGGCTCCTCCTCAACCCCTACTCTGCCCTTTCACTCCAGGGACAGGCAGATGTGGGAGGGGCCTCAGGGTTCCTCTCTGAGGAGTGGGGAGACCCCTCCCTTTCGGGCACTGCTGGGCCCGGAATGACGGCTCAGCTCCCATCTGGGTGAGACCCCAGTCCTGTCTCACCTGACGTCCTCAGGCTGGGCGGCCTGGGGACCAGGACTGCAGTGGGGGGGTCACCACCCTCTCTGGGGCCCACAGGGTCCTGGCCCAGGC